CATGTCGTGATGATAGTGGCCTGAAGATGGGCATGCCGTAATGACATCAACCCGAAGAAGATGAGCATACCATGGCGGTAGCGGCCCGAAAAGGGTGGGCATGCCGTGATGACAGCGACCCCAGTAGGTATGTTGAAAGAGCAGTGTCTTGTAAATGATAGACATGTCGTGGCGGCAGGGGCCCAAAAAGAATGTGCAACATAAGCATATGATCATGATTATACAGGTAGACAGATGCAGGTCATGGTGCATTAATACAATCATACATATGCACTACAATATGCAAAAATGCAAACACACATGCAAGACAGTATGGTGGTGCAAATAGCTGGTCGACCGGGTCGAGGCATCCGGTGGAGCGAAAGTGTCATGCCAACTGACTCAGGAAAGCCGACTGAAGTGAAGTGGGCTGCCCGCCAGGCCAGGGCGGTCGATCGAGGCGAAGTGAAGTGCTCGTTGGGTCGGGGTGGCCGGTTGGAGCGAAGTGAAAAGCTCGCTAGGCCGGGGCGGCTGGTCGAGGCGAAGTGAAAAACTCGTCGGGCCGGGACGGCCGGTTGGAGCGAAGTGAAATGCTATGCGGCGTGCAAAATGCAATATGTAAACATACACATGTAATAGGGAGTCATCCCCATGCTAACGACCTCACCGGAAAAACTAGGGTCAACATATAGAAAAACGACCATTGCCGCATTTGCTTTGGCGAGGCGGGTGAGGAACTTCTCCCCGAATCTCCAAAGGGAAAGTTCACTGCCTCGTCGTGAAATGGACTAGCGACGGCGCTTTTCCAGATTTCACGACGCCTGAAAGCTTTACAAAATGAGCTAATGACTGCATTTTCTCATTTTGCAAAGGCCTATTCTTCGATCATTCAAGCCTCTTAATGCAAACTTAAAGCAAAACCTTAGAACAAATTTAAGAAAAATGCTTCGTGTAGAATTTTTCTCCCAAAACCTTTGAGGAAGCAACGACCCACGAACACCCCAACACACAAGAACCTAGACGAGAAGGAAATTCGGCAGAGCCTCCTCTCCTAAAAGCCTCGTATAGCAACTAGTGAAAATCTCAGGCTTTCTTTCTTTCAAAAATTTTTTAACAACCCAAAATAGTACTTTAGGAAGCTTTTTTATAGGCAGAAATGAGAGGGGACAACCACATTTACCACCATTTTTGTGGTCGAATCAAGTGACGAGGAAAGAATTGTCACAATAAAGATGGAGACGGTAAAGCCTCGAGAAGGAGAACGGTCAGCCAACCCGGCCCTTGCAATGGGAGAGCTGAAAGGTCGAGCGACCATGCAAAGAAGGAGAAGAGTCGGGAGGGGTAGGCGTGGATGAGCCACGGGATCTAGGGCACGAAAGGGAGAGGGCATAAGGGAGGGGGCAAGCCGACCGCCTGACCGAGCCGCAAGGGTTGAATGAAGAGTTTAAGTGTGCAGGAAAAGGGAAAATAGGCTTTAGGGTTATAATTAATATTATAATCAGTAATATAAGTATATAAATTATTTAATATTTCCCAAAAATAAAATTTAATTCATATCTTTTTATTCGTGCGTAAATTCATAGCAAAATGAATGTTCTTTTTAGGTAATTCTAACGTTTCCGACGTGTTAGTGCGGTATGTTTCGTCATTGGAGGTCGTTTTGACGAATTCATCGATTTGCGTGCAATTTGCTATTATGCTTTATTATGACAATATGAGTGTCTTTCCTAGCTAAAATTGATGTCCTGGACACGTTAGCGCAATCTATTTTGTCGTCGGAGGTCATCCGGAGAAGTTTGCATTTTCATCCATTCTTTAAGCTCAATTTTAGTCCGATCTTGTGCAACTTAGTGAATTTTGTGCATTTTGTATGTGTGTGATGATAAAGTCCTGAAGAGGTTTTCTTAGGGCTTGAGATACTATTGGAAATTTCTCCTTGAGTCTCCACATGATAGTTCTTAACCACCCGACCATACGATGATGGTTTTTGAGATCATCAATGCGAGACATCACAAAAGAAATAGGAAGTGGTTGGAATTCTAAGGGGATAGATTTCAATACTAGTTTTCTAAGATAGTCAATAGGAATTCCTTGAGCTAGATCCTAGGATCCTGAGTACAAGAATAATGATCTCAAAAAATGAGGTCAACAAACCAAAAAATTGTTTAAGTAGACTGTAGACCGACCAAAGATTGAACTTGATATGCAATTGAACTTGAGTTGGGTTCCCAATCGAGAACCCACAACTCGAGAAAGATTTTGTGAATGAACGAGTTGGGCCCTCCGCTGGAGAGTTCCCAACCCAAACGCAAGAGTGCACTGAAGATTTTTTAAAGATTTTCACTGGGGATGAGCAGGTGTATTTTCAAATTGTGATCGTGAGTTTAAGCTTTCAAATTCTAATATTGATTTGATTTACTTGTCAATTTAATTTTGTGTTGTGGAAATTTGAAAGAATTTATGAATTATGATTTATGAGAATTTATGGAGAGTAGTGGAATATATGTGGAAGTTAAAGGAATCAGAATCCCTGCATCGATCCTGAAATTTGATTTGAAAGATTGCGATAGGAGGGGCTCCTAATGCAACACAAAATCGGATGTAAACTTTTCAAACTCTTAGAATTTGATTTGAAAGATTGCGATAAGAGGGGCTCCTAAAGCAACGCAGAATCAGATGTAAAATCCTCAACCTCTAGAATTTGATTTGAAAGATTGCGATAGGAGGGGTATAGGAGAGACTCCTAAAGCAACGCGGAATTGGATGTAAAATTCCCGACCTCTAGAATTTGATTTGAAAGACTGCGATAAGAGGGGGAATCAGATGTAAAATTCTTATCCTATAGAATTTGATTTGAAAGATTGCGATAGGAGTGACTCCTAAAGCAACGCGGAATCGAATGTAAAATCCTCATCCTCTAGAATTTGATTTGAAAGGTTGTGATAGGAGGGGCTCCTAAAGCAGGGTAGAATGATATGTAGAATCCTCAACCTCTAGAATGTAAAATCCTCATCCTCTAGAATTTGATTTGAAAGGTTGCGATAGGAGGGGCTCCTAAAGCAGGAGTAATGCAGAATCAGATGTAAAATCCTCATCCTCTAGAATTTGATTTGAAAGATTGCGATAGGAGGGACTCCTAAAGCAACGCGCAATCGGATGTAAAATCCTCAACCTCTGGAACTTAAGATTTTCCTAGGGATTGAGATCTTATTGGGAACTTCCGGTTGAGTCTCCGCATGATAGTCCTTAACCACTCGACCATACGACGATGGTTTTGAGATCATCAATGCGAGACATCACAAGAGAAATACGAAGTGGCTGAAATTTCTAAAGAGGTGGGTCTAGCTCTAGTCCTCGAAGATAGTCGATAGGAAAAGATAGTCGATAGGAAGCCTTAGACCTTAGAGCTAGATCCTAGGCTCTATGAAGAGGAAGGAAAGACCTCACAAAAATGAGGTCAACAACGCGCAATGATAAATCAAGACTCTGTGAAATAGTTCTATTGATTATAAAACAATGTATCATTTAATGAAATATTTAGAATAATGGACGACTGTATAATTTCTTATCATATCCTTGAACAAATGATTATTTATTTCATTAAATAAGCACAATTGATTCCTAAATATGGTCTTTTTTTCTTTACTATAACATAATTGACAATTATATGTTAAGCTATTAATATGATAAATTGCATGTATTTTCAATTTTGCAAACATGAAAGGTGAGTGGATTCTGATTTATAGATTCTTTTGGTTGAAGAATGTTCATAATACTTGGTAAGGTGTCTTTTCAATTTTGCAAACATGAAAGGTGAGTGGATTCTGATTTATAGATTCTTTTGGTTGAAAAATGTTCATAATGCTTGGTAAGGTTTGTTTTCTTATATTGTACATTGTACTCTTTTATGTAATATTCTCCATCAAAATATTGCCTAGTTCGAGTTCAATTGGGCGTGTTGACCATGATTGACCTGGTTCAAGGCTATTCCACCCCAAATGAATAATCAAATTATGGAATTTGCCAAGGATCATGTCAAATTTACCATTCAGTTCCACTCATCCAAAGTTATTTAAATTGGCATACTCGGCCCAAAGTTACGCAAAGTTACTTTAGTCACCATGGTTACTCATACAACTCACCTAGTGAATTCGCCCCAACGTCTTAATGCTACTTGCTATAACTTTAAAAGCTCTAGTGAAGTTGACACTCAACTTCATCACTTAGAAGTCAACATCGGTACCATGCTATTTAATAACTACAAACTAGCTAAGTTTAATCATTTCATGGCAAGCAATTGTACAGCCTTATTATGTAGTTTTAATTGTATTGTCCAAATGCAGCCTTTCTTATTGCATTGTACCTCAACCAAAGATATCCATTCATTTGCATGAGTCTTGAACTTTCAAGCAAAATAGTAAAATCTCAGAGGTTCTCTTTACATTATATTTCTCTTTTACATTTTTGCTTTAAGCTTGACCAATAGTTATTAGTAAAACTATGATATAACCTCTGAAAAATTTTGGGTTTTAAAAAGATAAAATTTTCTTGTATTCAACAGACAAATTCGTGGGCTAAGCTGATAATTTGGCAAATGCTCAGAAAGACATTACAATGAAGTACTTATGTTGGCCTGATCATTTTTCAATCGTTAATTGAAATTATTTTCTAGATTCTGCGCAATGTCTAAGCTGCACATGTATGAAAAGACTCGCATAAACATTTACAACCTGTGGGTAACTGAATAGATACTTTATGCATCTCCTTTGAAATCTTGCGAAACCTTGAAAAGCTTAGGAAACAAGATAGACTATGCAAAGCCTTTTATTTCTTAAGTAGCTTAAAATTATATGCTTGATGGGATTAAACAGGCATTGCGGCATTTCACCTTTTTATTCAATGTTTTTTCTTAAACGTAATGACCACATACCTAATGAGATCATTAAGCATTGATGAATTTAACTCCATTGATTAGAACCGTTGGAATAAAATAAAAATTTATGTTGTTTCATCTGCTTTAGTTTATCTGAAGGAGGCACTCCAGCGAAATTTCTAATTATAGATGATGGCTGGCAAGATGTAGCGAATGAGTTTCAGAAAGAAGGTGAACCAATAGTTGAAGGCTGTTAGTAAGTCCCCGGAGTCATTTTTCCTTACTGCTTTAGAACAATCAACTTTTCATTTCTCATGTTAATTCTAACTCAGCAGTTTCGGGGGCAGATTAGTCAGCATAAGAGAGAATAGCAAGTTTAGGGGTGATAACCCAACTTCAGAAGGAACCACAAATGGCTTCAAGGATTTCATTACAGCTATTAAGGAAACATTTGGAGTAAAGTATATATTCCCTAAAACTCTCCTGACTTTTTATGCATTTAAACTAGATCCATTTTTGGTAATGTCGATGAAATTTCAGATATGTCTATGTATGGCATGCCCTGATGGGATATTGGGGAGGAGTCCATCCAAATGCACCAGAAACAAAGAAATACAATTCAAAGCTATTATATCCAGAGCAATCTCCAGGAAATCTTGCAAATTCTAGAGATTTGTCCATGGATTGCATGGAGAAGTATGGTGTTGCCATGATTGATCCAAACAAAGTTGATGAATTTTATGATGACCTACATGCCTATCTTGCGTCACAGAACATAGATGGAGTTAAAGTTGACGTCCAAAATATCCTTGAAACATTGGGAACGGGCTATGGTGGTCGGGTTTCCCTAACTCATAGGTTCCAAGAAGCTCTTGAAAAGTCAATCTCCAAAAATTTTCAGGACAACAGTATTATTTGTTGTATGGGTCAGAGTACAGACTCTATTTACAGGTTCAGAAATGCATGAAATGATTAACAGTAACTTGTAAAACAAATTTATCAATGCCAACTAAATTATTGTTTCAGCTCAAAGGCAGGTGCCGTCACTAGGGCATCAGATGATTACATGCCCAGAAACCTGACATCACAGACACGACATGTTGCTGCTGTGGCTTTCAACAGCATTTTCCTTGGGGAGATTCTCGTCCCAGATTGGGATATGTTTTATGTGAGATGGAACTTCTTCCTTTGACGTACACTATATTATCCTTATATAAAGAAATTCCTTTATTTTAATTTAACACTCATTTTTTTATTCCAGAGCGTTCACTATGCCGCTGAGTTCCATGCCAAAGCAAGAGCTCTAGGTGGCTGTGGAATCTATGTCAGGTTGGCTTTTTTTTTATTACATGTTTCATTCTATGAAGCAGAATTTTAGCTAATAAGTAAAAACCTAATAGATTTTTACAGTGATAAAGTTAATGAGCATGATTTTGATCTGCTTAAAAAGCTTGTACTTCCGGATGGGTCAATTCTGAGAGCCAATTATCCTGGCCGGCCAACTCGGGATTGTTTGTTCAGCGACCCAGTTACCGATGGGAAAAGGTGAACATCTATAGATCAAATAACGAATAATTTTGTTGAAAGTCTGCTTTTGCAGTAAAAGTTTGCTTTTTATGCGTGCCAGTCTTCTGAAGATCTGGAATCTGAACAAATTTACTGGAATTTTGGGTGTATTTAATTGCCAAGGAGCTGGAACTTGGCCAGGTTTGAGTGGTAACCAATCAAATTCCTGTCCTGAGTTTATCACTGGTCAAGTCAGCGCAAATGACATCGAGTACCTTGACAAGGTAGCAGGCAATAATTGGATTGGTGATTGTGCTATCTATTCCTTCGATTTTGGTATGTTATTTTGATCGCTATTATTTCATTGTATTGAGATTTCAAGCCCATGATTAATTTGTTGGTGCTCTCAAAATTGAAATTCGCAGAATGTAGCTTAGGTATTTTTTAATTTTATGCACTCATCCTAATAAAAATAACTTATAAATACTTTTGCATCAAGGATGAACATGGAGTTCATATATTTTTATATGTGTATTTTAATTGCTAACAAAGGATATATATATATATATATATAGAGAGAGAGAGAGAGAGATATATATATATATAACAAAGGATATATATATATATATTCTTTGTTAGCAACTAAAATACAAATATAAGAAGGCACAAGGCGGAGAAGGACACCCTCTCCCGCTGAGACCTTTTTCCCCTTTTTTTTCTGTTTTTCCCTCTTGATACTGGAGGATTTCAGGATTTTATTTTGGATTGTGTAATATTACGGATAATATGGGATCCTACGTCCCAATAAAGGATTCAACATTCTGAACGGTGCGGTGAGCGTGGCTATCACATTTACATCTTGAATATATGATTCTCTTTAGCATCATTTCAAAGTTGTAAGTGAGAATGATGGATATCACCAGGGAATATGTGCCAGTAGGTAGAAGAAACGAGAAATCAAGTGATAAAGGTTGTGCATGGCTTAAATGAAGCATTCCAAAACTAGAACAAGAACTCATATTGGATCCTCTAGGTCGGTGGCTCGATGATGGAGGAACTATACCCAGGAATGTTACCTCCAGAGACACCACACGAAGAAATACCTCAAATTGAGATAAGACAACGGGGAATCCTACCACCGAAAAGGGTCAGGAGAGAAATTGTGCCAACTCAGAAATTGCGAAGAAAGGTCAGGAGAGCACTCGGCCCAACACTTGAACAAGTACTAACACACCATTATGAGGAGAATTCTTCGGACCAGGAGGAGAAGTCCAGAACAGATTCAGTGCAGGAACCTAGAAGAAGGAGAAGATCCTTGTCAAATTCATTAACTCATGATACAAAATAAAGATCATCAAGGAAACAAAAACTTTTCTCCAATAATATTGTAGAAAGAAGATGAAACAAAAAACATATGGTTGCAGAAGGGCCTTTCTCAATAAAGATTTCAGAAGCTTAAACGCCAAAGAAATTTAAGATTCCAACTTTAAATTCTTGATAAGGAAAGTTTGATCCTACAAATCATATATCTTTCTTTTGAGTCAACTATCTGCTTACATAGGATAAGTGATGCAATGAAATGTCATTTTCTCCTGATGATGTTGAAGGAATCATCTTTATGCCGGTTCAACCACTTACCTGCAGGGGTTATAACTGCATTCGAAGAATTTAAGCAACTATTTGTTTTAATTTACAAGTGCGCAGAAGCCATCAAAAAGTTCACAAGCTCTTTTGAGGATATGTCAAAAGTCTACATAAAGCCTCAGGAGTTTCATCTTACGTTTCCAGCGAGAAATGTTAAACATACATGATTTGGAACCCGCGGTTGGATGACTTGTAGTGGTTGAAGGTTTGCGTGAGAGCCCATTCAGTTATGATCTTGGTCTCAGAAAACCAAGGACACTGGCTAAGCTCTTGGAACTCGAGAACAAGCATATTCATGCTTAAAGGCTCGGCCACATGTAGGTTCTTCACTGCCTTCGAATATAGATGAAGAATGACATGACTAAGAGCATTATCACTAGAGGGGTTTGAAAGCTTCAAACAAATGGAGAGCTAAAGATGAATGTGAAGTATCCCGGTCAGAATACCAAAGTAGATTAATGAGGTTAGTTGTCAAGATACCAGAAGTCAATCAAGAGATACTTCGTCTCTCTCCGCCACCGACTGAAGTTACACCTCTAAGAGTGTCCATGACAGAAATTGTGGAAGCCATATAAGGAAAGGAATATTTTAGAAAGCTTTTCCCTTGAAAACTAATGTGCAGGCTCATGATCCTAATCGATATTGCAAATACCATCAGGACCACAGACACGATACTGAAGAATGTCGCCATCTTAGTAGCCTTGTTGAAGAACTCATCAGAGATAGAAAACTAAAAGTATTCGTTGCTCCTGAGGCGCAAAATCAGAGATAGGGTAAAACACTTGCCACGGGTGGAGGCAGCATACCGACTCCTGTAAGAGTCGTTCAGACCCAAGGATTCATGCTCATTATCTTCGGGGGTGATGGGCCCGAAGCCACACAAAGATTGATCTTGAAAAAGGTTAGACCCAAAGACAATTACTTTGTTGAGTCCGCTCGACTGACTGCATCGACACATCCTCTGATCATCTTCAGAGACGCTGATCTGCTTATTGGAGGTAATCCGTTCAATGAAGCCTTCATGGTCACCGCCATCATAGAGGGTTTCCAGATTGAGAGTATCCTGATTGATACCGGAAGCTCTGTGAACGTTATATTCCAAACTTTCTTCGATAAAATGGGGCTTGCAATGAACCTATTAGCTCCGACTTCCAGGCCTCTGAATGGATTCTCCGGGGAGAGGAAAGAAACATGCAGATTCGCCCCTCTGTCATATGGGGGGAAGAAGGCAGTCATTTTGAGGCAAAAGTGGAATTCATCATAGTTGAAGCACCGAATGCGTATAACGCCATTTTCAGTAGACCACTCCTCAACAAATCCAAAGCAATAGTTTCTCATATCATTTTGCAATTAAGTTCTTTGTGAGGGGACGAGTGGTCACAGTCCGCGGTGATATGGTTCAGTCGCAAACCTGTTATCTACGAGCGATAGAAAGTGTACGAGACAACCTTCTTGTTCTAGATCAAAAGCAAGGTCAAGAGCTTGAATCCACTAACATTTCAGAGTCCATCCCTTTATTCACCATGGAGCCAAACCAAACCTCTTTGGTAAGTACAGATTTTGACAAAGAGCACCGATACCACCTCATCGAAGTCCTTCGAAGTCACAAGGATGTCTTCTCCTGGAGTCCTTCTGAAATGTCGGTTGTAGACATAGATGTGGCTTGTCATCGTTTAAATGTCAACCCCGAGGCTAAAACTATCAAACAGAAGATATGTAAATCAGCTGACAAGCTCGCGGAACCTGTTCGACAAGAAATATTGAAGTTATTGGATGCTAGTTTTATACGAGAAGTGTAATATCCCAAATGGTTGGCTAACGTGGTTATGGTGAAAAAGGCCAACAACAAATGTATAATGTGCATTGATTTTACCAATATGAGCACAACCTGCCCAAAAAATAGTCATTTGTTAACTAGGATTGAAACATTGGTCGATTCCACTATAGGATATTCAGTAACGAGCTTCTCAGACGCCTTCTCCGGTTACCATCAAATTATGATACACCCCGCAGATGGAGAAAAAATCTCTTTTATTACTAAGGAAGGAGTCTTTTGTTATAAGGTCATGTCATTCGTTTTAAAGAATGTCGGGGCGACCTATCAAAGAATCAATTCATTGGTTTTCTTTCTCGGGGAAACATCATTCACAATCAATGGACTATGATTATTCATAGGCCAGCCATGGATAGAGTTAACGAGATGAGCTTGCAGATACAAGAAACAAGGAGTTGGATTTATCCCTATCTGCAATATCTCTCCACAGGAGTAATACCCCCAAGTATTAAACACCTCTGGAGATTTCAGATTAAAGCTGCTCATTACGTAGTGGTCGACGGACAGCTCTTTCGAAGGTATTTTGCCTCTTTCTTGCTAAATGCATTAAAGAAGAGGAATTAAATTTTCCTATGGGAAATGCATTTTGGGGAATGTGGGAGCCATTCCAGAGGAAGAACTTTGGCCAACCGAGTATTGTGACAAGGTTATTTCTGGCTCACTCTCAGTAAAGATGCAGACTTATTTTCGAAGAGATGCGAAAAGTGTCAGAAGTTCGCCCTAGTGAAGCCACTATATTCTCATAAATTACAACTGAAAAAGAACACTTGGCCATGTGAGGTCTAGGGAATGGATCTCATTGGGCCTCTATCACAAGGAAAAGGGCAACACAAGTACATCTTGGTTATGATAAACTATTTATCCAAGTAGATTGAGGCCAAGCGCCTGATCCGAATCACCACCGAGGTAATTCTGAATTTCATATGGAGCTACATCATATGCAGATATGGGTTCCCAATAGTCATCATTATTGATAATGGAACTCAATTTGCGGACAAGAGAATTAAGCAGTTCTGCAACGGACGGGGGATAAAGCTTAAGTTTACTTCTGTTCATCATCCTCGTAGCAACGACCAATTAGAAGCCGCTAACAAACTCATCCTAACTGTAGTTAAGAAAAAACAGGATGGAGACTAAGGAAATTGGCTCGAGTTGCTACCATCAGTCTTGTAAGCTTTGCGTGCAATGCCCACAACTGCCACTGGGCAAACACCTTTTGCCCTTTCTCTTGGGATAAAATGAGTTCCTTCCAATATAATATGATGTACATAGTCTCATGATCCTCATTGCAACTAACTTTGAGGAATATGAACTTGACAAATTGAGGGAATCAAATGACGAAGGTCTACAAAATTCTTTACTACTTCTAGAGGAATGATGCGTGGTTTTGTTGTGTGTTGTTATTGTAAATATTTTTCAATGTCACAAAACACACACGACAGCTTTAATAATAAATATGCAATTCAATTTCATTCATCCAAATAAAAATAAATTTAGTAAAAATAATTTTATCTCTTAAAATCTTTAAACTGCAAAACCCGTAATAATAACACAAGTATACGTATCGCTCGAGTAATAAAGTGCTCTAATGCTGTCCTAAGTATCGATCACACAGGGTAGTTGGAAATGCTTATGACTAAATTCTTTTGACTATAATGTAAAACATAATTCAAACTACAAAACTTAAGTACGAAATTTAAATCTAAAGTAATTGCGTGTTTGCTAAGTAAAATGCAGTTAAAAAGACTAAGTTAACTAAACTATTTGCTAAATTTCAAAAGTAAACTTATGAAAATTAAATAAAATTTTTGTGACGAAGAGTTCAGATTTAAGAAAACATCATTCCCTTTTACAAGGA